CGACACCGTCGGTCGAGTGGTGCACTCGTCGAGGTGTGGTGTATTTGTCCGACTGCACCCCAAAATTTCTGGCAGAAATTAGTTCACAGAGAAAATGCGCCTTCTCAGTTATAAACGTTCTCTGCTGCCGTTCTATTCGATAAGGGGTATAGTGCAATTTTGACAACAATACTAACAGAGAGCAAAAACTTGAGCAAGCAGAAACTGTTGCATGTGGTTCTGGCCTCTGGTATTACCATATAAGAAGCAGTGGAGCAGCGTTGGACACAGCATTTTGGACGATTACATACTAAGGGCCGGTTACTCAATGTCTGGTTAACACTAATCTCCGGTAAAACATCTTTATCGACGTTACCGACTCCATGTTATATGCATGGAGTCGAAGACGTCGATAACGATGTTTAACCGCAGATTAGCGTTAACCAGACATTGAGTAACCGGCCCTAAGACGCACATTTGAAATGAGAGGAATAACCTGGCGGTGGTTTACACTGTAAACCGGCCAACCTACTCAAATCCCAAAAAAAAAATAATATTTGAAATGTAAATTTTGACAGCGAAATTCGTAAAAAAAATAATAAAACAAAAATATTGTTGATTACTACATGGGAGGTGGTCGTGGTTATTGACAGGTTTCGCAAAAATTTAATACTAACCTAAATTATACCAAAGGCAACTTCGGCACCGACTTTCGTTAAAATATATACATAAATTTTGTTCGAGTTAGCGTGTTTACAAACAGACACGACTGAACCAATTCATTTCGTCATTCTGAATATTTTGATAAATATGTATGTAAGAATACATATGTGTATATACATTTTATACGGTTGAAAAACGGCCTCGCTAATCTGCATAAACCTTTTTTATTTGCATTAACTCGTGCAGTATCCTTTTCAAATGAGAATAAGCGTAACTTTGTGTACATATTTCATTAAAACTTTGGAGGTCTCCACTATAAGAGTTGTATATTTGAAAATTAGAGAGTTCTACCTTTAAGTTAAGTAATACTTGTTTTACACCCTAATTTATGGGACCATTTTCCAAAGTCAGCCCACCGTTATTCACTCAAAGTTGTATTCGGAGCACGATATGACTTATGTGGGAACTGCATCCGGTTATAATCGCTTACGCTGCACGCCTGATTTGCTTGGAATTTTGTTTTTCTCGTTGTTTTAAAGTATGTGACTTGAAAATATTTTTCACTATAAGAAAATATTGAAATTCATTTCATTTGGGTTAAAGAAAACGACAACTGTGAAAAAATATCAACCAATACATTCGAATAAATTGTCAAATAAGAATATTTACATTTTTTGTTTTGCCTGTTTGGATTACTGTATACTGTGGCTGTGACTACAACACCTACCGGAAGTTTCACGCTTTGGGAAAGTAATACAATGTTATTAGCTAATTGGGCATAAGTGCAGAATACGGCCCGTTAAGCTAGAACAAAACGAAAAATTGGGCATGATCCACCTTTTTTCCCCATTTTAATGGTATACAACTTTTTTTTATGTAAACTAATATTTTCGGTGCTATGGAGAGGCGAAGGGGGTATTTTCAAAAATTTAAGGGTGGGCTTTAGTAGTCAGCCGCACCTTGTGTTTTAAGAAAACCAGGTGGAGTAAACAAATGAAACTTGGTCAGGATGTTAAGAGAGGTATCCTCTAAAACATGTATAAGTAAAAAATATAAACAATATCATTGTTTATAAGATATTTGTTGTTAAAATTTCTTAAGTCGTTCCACTTGGTTTCCTTAACAAAAAGTGCATTTGTCACATACTTTCATATATATAAATGCACATAACACTGTACTTAATACTTTACACACTTTTATTTTATGATTAGTTTTTTGTTTTTGGCCGTTTTATTATAATTTATTCGTTAATTTTGAGCTCCAGGCCGGTTATTAAATAAAACATAGATTTTGGTAGTTTTATTTATTACATTTATTGCTGTCGATATTTCGCCTTCAATCTGAAGGCATCTTCAGGACTGAAAAACACCAAATGCATACATATTTACGTCAAATTACAAAAAACTTACATCATAAACGCAACTTACATTATTGAGTTTTTCCAATCGACTAATTCTATGTGAAGAAAAATATTAACAAACAAGCTCAAAGAACACTTAAACATAAACAAGAGAATTTAGGCAAGTCGAAATACCGTAAATGTAAATAAAAAATATACAAACAACAATACATGTAGTGGTGGACAGTAGGACGGAGAGAATCTGTATGTAGAAAAGCACGGCATAGCATTGTTATTGTCGGACGAAGTACTGGTGGCGGACCGACGAACAATCACGTTGCGTTTATGACGCAATGAGGCTGATTATTTAGTTATCAGATTTTGTTTTAAAAATTATACTTTTATTTTTCTGGATTTTAATGTTTAAACAAATATATACACTTTTTAATTTCTCTTAATTTCATTTTATCTATTTTTTGGTTGGTTTTCTTCTTTCTTTTTAATAAAATTTTTAATTTTTATTGTTTCAAGATGAAAATATTATTATGTTTTTTATTTAATCTAATTACAAAAAAAAAAACAAACGCATTGCTAGAAGACAAACAGAATCACGTATACCTGTTATCAGATTTTTCAATTTAAAGATAGTTGCCAGAATTGACAATAGCCTTACGAAAGACTGTGGTGAGTTGAAAGACAGTTGCCATAATTACCCTGCAAACTTACACAAACTCAAACGTCTTCTGAAACTGTTTGAAAAGAAAAAAAGCTCATAGCCTTTGGGTTAGTGTGTTGTTTCCATGGCAGAAAAATCCTGAAATGCATGTGTCTAAGCAGTATGACCAGATAGTCCAAACAAATTTGACTTAATTTATTAAAAAAAGGTTAGAGTTTTAAAAAGTTAGCATCTTTCATTTCCAGTCGGCCCTAACAAACTTTTTTCCTGATCTCTTAACATGATAAGCAGGGAACGGATTTTTAGGACCTAAAAACCTATAAAAAAAGGCAAAATAAAGTAACGAAATAGGCTGGAAAAGGCAAAATAAAATAGCGAAAAAGGCAGGAAAAGGCACTAGGTGTTGCAAAAAAGGCAAAACAAAATAGCGAAAAAGGCAGGAAAAGGCAAAAAAAAGGTATTGCAAAAAAAGCAAAATAAGACAAGTAAAAAGAGAAAAACCATGAACTAGTTTCATTATATGTGACCTGGTCTACGAAAAGGGAGCTTACGTGCGAAAACTAGTTTTCTGTGAAAAAGCTGTTAAAAGTAAGCAACTCGTTTCGTCAGTTTCTCATTATCTCGTTAATTGTTCTCCGCGCCGGACGTCCAG